AAATTATAATCATATTTAAATATGACACTTGCAAATCTTTTTTGCGATACTTAATGATATATTTTTTTTTAGCTAGTTGTTAAGTTGTCTTTTTTATCCATATATTGGTAATAAAAGAATGACTATAGGCTCAATTGGCAAAAAGAGGTCACGTTCCGGAATGGAGAAGAGAGAAAAACAGTTCTTTTTCCATCTAGGTCCCTTTCTGACAAGGGGTTATCTGTTGTATAGCTGTATGACGTTGAGACCCCTTATTGTTATACATTTATTCTCAGGCGATAAGTTTGATGGTCAATCCATTATTTTATTATCCATGGTTTTATCAGTTTAAATGAGCTGTAACTTGATAAAAACCATTTTTATCGTGAAATATTAAGAGAGTGTTTTAAAAGTGACATATTTCCACTTTATGAATCATTTTTTATATTTTAAAAATATTTATTAAGATTTCATGTTAGAATATTTTTAATGAAAAATTAAAATTTCCTATTGTATTCATTAGGAAACACGCTAGGGATTTTTAATTTTAATAGGATACTATCAATTGGGGGAGGGGGGAGGTAAAACAATTTTTTTTAGACAGTCTAAAATATATATGTATATAAATAATAATAAATTAATAAACACAATTTAGGTACTTACCCAGTTATGGGGCGAAAATCGTTTTATTTTCAGGTACTTTCATTTTTCCACATACACTAAAAAACAGAAAAATATGATTTAATAGAAATTTATCTATAATATACTATTTAATAGGTACAATTATTTAATAAATACGTTATATTTACGTAAATATGTATATAAGAATAATACAGTTACATAAATAAATTAAAAATAATTAATTATTGTTATTACAATTACCCGTTTGATTTCTTACGCCTCGGAATTTGTTTAGTTACAACTTTCATTTTTAATAAATAAATTAAGAAATTGTATAAATCGATATAATCAAACAGTTACCTATGCCGTATTATGCGTTGAAATAAACTAACAATCGTTTTGTTTCTCAGTAAAGACTAAAGACTTAATGATAACAACAAAAAATACCGGTATGGATCAAGCAATTACACTTTGTACTTCAAGTTCATAGGTCAACGCGAACCTGAAATAAACTCTAATACCTACTACCTAAATGTGTATTATACTTTTTACTCACGGTAACTTTAAATAATACAATACTTCTACATGCCATCCTCATTAAAAATGGCGTTACCACTTAATAGCTATTTTATTCGTCAGATTTTCATAACTGTTGATTTTTTTCTGCTTATTTTATGTTGTGTGAATGGTTATTGGTAACGTGGTTAGAATAACATGTACCCGACATGTACCCGGGGTCAATGTCAACGACGCGGCGCGGCGGCACAACTCAAAACAATCGACGTCAGCCGATTTCCTTCGTGTGACAACTGAGTACTGACGAGCAAGATGTAATGGCCGATGTCTGATGAATACATTTCAGATTACTACTAAAATAATTATAATCATTATTTAGCAAGGAAAACATTTGACAGAATAGCGCTCGAGAACATTAACAAGCCCAGTACATTTGAAAGCTGTTTGTAATCATTGTAGATACCAGGTGCCAGCTTTAGACCCCTGTCTTATGCTCTATGGTCACAGTTACTTAGCTTATGTAGCCACCGTGACCCGTGTGCACAGTATATGATACAATTTGAGAATTTTAATTATATTTTTTTGAAATTTTGTATTTACTCATAGGTACCATAGTATTTTAACCAAACAATGTGTCTAATGTTATAAATTCATTTGTCTTCTTATTTAAGGAAATTGCATGCGGTCGGTATTTTTGACGTTTTAAACAAAAATTTAGACAAATTTTCGACTACTTAGGATAATCTGATATCAAGAAAACAGATTTTTGATTATTTGCTTATTTTATGTAAAAAAATTGGGTTAAGAAAATATTAAAAAAATTGCAAATTTTATTTATTTAATTACAAGAAACTGACATTTAAAAATGAAAATCGACTTTTCCTACATAACATAGTAAAGTAGCTAAAGAACTCGAATCTATTGAAATTGGACCATTTTATGTAATTGAAATTTTGTCTGAAAAAAATATTTAAATTAAAAATAATATCTTGAAGCTTATGCAAATTAACCGGTTAGTTAATTGACTAAAAAAAGTGGAAAATCTATTGAAACCTAATTTTTCTTAAATATTGCCTATACAAAACTCCCTAAGAACTGACCGCAAGGTAATCCCCTTAAAGTGTTATTTTATAGTTAAGGGGATTGCATGCGGTTGATTTTTAAGGAGTTTTGTATAGGCAATATTTAAGAAAAAAGTGGTTTTAATAAATTTCGATCATGTCAATTAATTTACCGGTTAATTTGTATAAGCTTCATGGTATTATTTTTAATTTAAATTATTATGTCTATGAGTAAAAACCATTTTAGTTAACATAACATACATTTTTTGTTCCATCGCACAGGCTAAACCAGTGATCCGATAAGTAATCTGAAAACAGATTTGAATTCTTTTTGAAGTTTACTTATGATCGGTCAGGGTACTTTTTTGATATCTTATTCCTACTATGTATCAAAGACGTTTAAACATTATATGAAATGTCAAATTTTGAAATCAAATTTGGAAAGGGTTAAAAAAAAATTTTAAAAAGTACCCTGACCGATCATAAGTAAACTTCATGGCGAATTCAAATCTGTTTTTAGATTGTTTATCGGATCACTGGTTCGGTCTGTGCAATGGAATAAAAATGGTGTGTTTTGACTGAAAAAACCGACCGCATGCAATCCCCTTAAATGAGGAATATACATAGCTATAGGCAAATATTTTTAATGGATATACTAAGACATTTTTGCATTGTCGGAGAACCTAAGACAGAGAGAAGATTAAAAAATGACCGTACAAATAAAAATGTCTATTCAAATATTTGTTACTTAAATAAATTAAAATTACTCTGCATTTTTGTTCTATTAGTTAAAAATGATAAATATATATTAACACCAATAAATACTTTCTTAGATTGGTAATTTAATATATAGAAGTCAATAGTTACAGGCCACATCGCACATGTAAATACGTAATTAATTGTATTTGAATTTATCTATACTGTAATTTAAGAACAATAATTTATTTTTAATAAGTATGTAGTCTAAAATTATTTTTTGGCTATTCTATAAACTAAGATATTCAACACAATCTTACTACATTTAAAATTGGCATCTTGTATTCTGCTGAATTTTGCTTTTAATATCTATCAATTTAGGTTTTGAATTATTCCAATTATGAAAAATTGTGCAGTGAAGGGTTAAGAATTAATTTGGTAAGTTAAGTACAAATTATTAAAAATATATATTTCACATTATTTTTTATATATAATTTCTTTGTGTTGACTGAGGAAATTTTCAAGGATTTTATATGTATAATTTGTGTGTCTCAATTATTGATACACCAATATCTTAGATCTATCTACATAGCAACTCGATCTATACTGTTCATTGTGATCTTTAAATTAGGTTTAGGTTATACTGGCCTTTTACTACAATGGATTAGGTCTATTATAATATAAAACATTTTATGTAGCCAGACGACAGATTAGACACACTTTAAACCTTGAATATTGTTAAATTTTTTTTCAAACTTTCAAGGATTTTAAAATATAATTTTTTTTTTATAATTCTACTTTATTTAATTTAGGTAGATTTGTTCAAGGTTTATATATAATGGACTTACTATGTGCCATTGACAAAATAACTAGGGTAAATAAAAGAATGATACAAATAAGAAATTTAAGTAAACTATTCTATTAAGAAAAACAGCTGAATATTAATAATATTTAAGTATGTGAAATAATGTTTACGTTGACTACTAAATAGTGTACAACACATGTTTTTTTACATAAAGTACAAATTAAATTTATTAATAAATTTAACTATAAGACAGTGTTTTATATAAATACTAACAATAATAATTAATGTTTAAATTATCTTAAATGTCAAAACTAATGTTAATATTTGAATCACATACAATTCTATTAAAAAATATTATAGTGTATATAAATTTATTTATATAATGTAATAAATACATAGTTTTGCTGCTCCCGCTACTAAGGCTCCCACTGGCCTAATGATATGCCAAGACAATCAATGTCATTTTGATTATTTTACATTTTAAAAAATACGAATATTAAAGATAACAAATTACATTAAATTACAGTAGAACAGAACACATAAAAGTTAAAAAAAATGGTTACATTATTGTTCTACTGAGTAATAATGAATGCTGATGTAACACATAGAAAAGAGTGATAAGGAAGTAAAAAAAAATAATGGGAAAAAATTATAAGTAAAGAAAGAAATGTGCAGTGGCAGGAACAACTTGTGATTACACATAATAATATAGACTAAATATACATAGATAAACCCACCACATACTTTTTTGGCAATCCAATTTTGGACGCAAACCCTATATTAACCTTGTATTCGTCCATTTTGTTATAATATAACATAGCTATATATTATATGCTCGTGAACTATCTATGTATATTTAGTATATGTATGTAATAATAATTATTAAAAAGCTTAATGGCTAAAAAATATTTACAAAATAAACAGGACTTTTAATTAAGTATACGAAATATTAATAAGCTTAAAATTAGTAATTAACACAACAATAAACAATAAGAAAGAATAATTAATTTATACTCAAATTAGGTTTAAATTTATGAAAATAAATAAAACCTTGTTGACAAAAAAATAACACCGTGTACTTACCATAATCATGCAAAGATTTACGATTTTTGTAAATTTTCTTCAAAACCATAATTACAAATTATTTAGAAATAGGATGTGAAAAAAACCACTTAATAAGAGTAAAATCCAATATTTTATAAAAAAATATTATTTTTATCACAAACAGAGGAAACAAGCAACAGAGTTTAATGGAATTACTAAACTTATTTTTCTTTAAATAATATCACACTAGTGATCATCAAACAAATATTAACAAACAGTGATTATCACACAACGTGTATTTAAAAGCAAAATTATACTCATTGGTAATCAGAATTAATCCCTGATAACTCTTTATATAAATTAAAACTTATAATATAAATTACAACTCTTAATACAAATTACATTGTTGTTAGCACCCAATTAAAGGCTACATAAAAAAAAAAAATAATAACTTGGCAGAAGCGATTATACTATGAAGCTTGGGAGGCGCATCTTTTTAGACATTTCTGTCCACATAGGAGTCCGCAGCAGTGAGCCGTTGTATTAGGAGCAGAGAGCAGACTCATGAGGCTGAGTTTGATGCCATCCTCGTAGGAGTAGTTGGTGTCAAGCCTTTTATTTTGCAAACCCAACCGGCAATATCAACCGGTTCACTTTCAGCTTTTTTTATCCATTGGTGATCCTAAAAACAACAAGATATAATTTATTAGTAGACTATAAAAATCTGTTGACTTTATTTTGTTACAACATAGCAGCAGTGTAGTCATTTTGTATACCATTCTGTGTATGCGGGTACACTGTACTCATAACAAATCTTGTTCTCTAAACTCTATCAGCAGTTACACAATTTTATTATAAGTACATTGTACACACAATGTATACCCATGCTACACAAAAGCAACTTACCATTAGCATTTTAAAGTCTCCTCTTTCAATTGGATTCTTTTTTAAACATCTATCTACAAAGTCTTTAAAAGCATCCGAAAAGATACCAGCAGGCAGAGTTGGTGGAGGTTCATTTACAATGTAATCGAGTAGCTCGAAAATGGCCATCGGTCTAGGGCCGTTACCATTAGCTAAAATTAATTTGGCATATGAATAATGAAACAATAAAAAAAATACTGTCAGTTAAAAAGCCATCAGTTAAGTAAACTTACCAAATACATCGCCTTCTGAATTGTCTATGTTTTCAGTCGTTTGAGATCTAGGTCCGAATATAGAAGCTAATGTTTTAGCATCGGGCGCTGGTATTGGATACATACCTATTGCCATTTCAACCAAAGATAAGCCCAAGGACCAAATATCACTTTGTAATGTATACTGGGTACCCTGAAGTCGTTCAGGCTTTAAATAAAATCAAATGAAATATAAGTTAAATCAAAATGATCGTTATAAACATACATAATTCATACTCTATACAGAATAAGAACAGGCTTCGGCGACCGACCAGTTTTCTTCGGGCGGCGGTCAGGCATTACAAATTTTACATTTCGTCTGTAGCCCCCACCGGCGGCAGTGTTCAAGGTCCGTTACTCGTAGTGAAGCTACGCCTATGCGCACAAGTCGGCCGCCGAAGCCTGTTCTTATTCTGAATAGAGTATATGTATATTATTTCCAGAGCTCGTAAAAAATAGTTTAGTTAATCACGTTTTATTAACAATGTGGGCTAGGGCTATGCGAAGATATATTTATCAAAATAGTTGTGATTTTATGAATTTAATTGAAAAAAACAATTAGCTAATACATTTTATATTATAGATTAATTGATAGAAAAAAAATATATATAGATTTGAATAGCTAGTATATATATATATATATTTTAATTGATTTATTACAAATCAGTTAGCATCGGATGTAAAATCCATGTCATCGACAGTCTTAGTGTAACCAGTAATAAAATAAATTGATTATACTACATTTGAATTAAATGTAGGTAATCAATTTTTTTTTAAATTCTAGAACTAAATTAATATAAACGATTAAAACTAATTTAATTGATTAATTGAAAAAATCACACGTCCTAAGAGCGGGCTTTTATTTACTTGTTTTTGGTTATGCAAATATTATGAATACGTTTAGGTTATTATAATGTTATATTCAAGCTGAGATAATTACACAATCTGAATTACTTACAGACATATATGACCTAGTACCGACAAATGAATTTGCCATGGAATCTATAAGTTGACCAGAAACACCAAAATCGCAAATTTTAATTTCACCTGCGCTGTTTACTAAAATATTACTAGGCTTGACGTCCCTATGAATGATTGAATGTTGTTCTCGCAAATATATTAGACCCTTGACAACCTATATAATCAATATACATTAGGTAATGTAATCAGATTATTATATTTTATAATATAACTAATATTATACGTACAGCTGCTGTTATTGTCCCAAGTATAGGTTCAGGTATTCGTGTTTTTTGTAATATGAGATCTAATGAGCCGCCATCCATGTATTCCATGCAAATACTTATTTCCCCATCACTGTAATAATTGACAAATTACAGTTTAAACTTTATAGTCTACTATTTTTAGTTAGATTATCTAATTACAAGTACAACTTTACCTGTAAAATGCTCCATAAAAACCAACTATATGAGCATGATTACATTCATGTAAGATTTTAAGTTCCCTTATTATTTGTTTCTTTATGGCTGGTTTAACTTCCAAGTGAATAAGCTAAATAAACACACCAATGAATAATACAGAAGTTAAGATTTACAAAAGGAGATTTTTTACTTTTCTGGCCATTATCAAACCGCTAGACTTGTGTTTGACTTTCATGACCACACCTCCATTGCCAGCACCAAGTTCACCGTCTTTCATTTTTTCAAAGTCAGCATCGCTCAATTCTCCGCCTATCTTTTCTTTCTGACACAAAAACAATTCCATTCGCTTACGTTGTTCGTCATCCATTCCAACGCGATCCAATTGTTCTTGTAGACTTGCTACACTCAATTTGTCACATCTGTAAACCAAATACATAAATAAGTTGACATTTTTTTTTACTTGTCAAATACAAAATTTAATATACCCTGTGTCAGAAGCTGCTGACAAGGGAGCGGACGGTGACACCGGGTGTGGATTGTCGGTTACGCCAGGAGGCAGAGTCAGGTTTAATTTATTCTTGGACATTTTTTTAATGTAACAACGACGGTATTGGTAGAAGAACGCCTACCACCGTCTATGTTCTATAGTTATTAGTTTATTAAATCCCGGTCAAGAGGAAATCAGTATTGTTGAACGCTCAAAACAATTCAATAAAATGATAAGAGACAAGAGAAACACACAAAACAATTTCTTACACGATTATATAATAACATCGAGCGACAAAAATGGAAAAACTGATAACTGTCTAACCTCTATGTTACTACTAATGAAAAATAATTCAAAATCACTAAATAAAGTACTTAAACACATTGCAATACATTAACACGGATTTATAGTTTCCTTCACTTTTTCACGAATGCGAAAATGATTTGCCATTATAGTATATTATTATTAATTTTCTTCTTAACTGAACAGTTAATCTGTTAATCCCGATAATAAATAGATATAAGTTATATCAATTGGTTAATAAATGGTATGCAATTATATTATTTATTATAATCAGTAATCAGTGAAAAAAAAAGCACTATTGATATTTTGTCGTACAGGGCTTGTGTAGCACAACTGCCAACTTGCTTACAGGTAATCCAACACAATGGTTTAGAGATCAAGAATGTAAATCGAAAAAGTTATAATATGATAAATGATAATCTGTTATGGTTGTAATTATTTATCATGGCTATTATAGAATTAACACTAAACACAATAGAGTTTTGAATTTTGTTTTGTGTCAATTTCTAGTGAAAATTGGACGTACGGTTTTGAATCAACACTTAATTCGAATTAGAAAAATTGTTATATATGCAGTTTCTATAGTTAAAACGGAACAACATATTTTTAGCATTTTAAATATATTAAAAACTATAATTTTATTGAAAAACAGGATACTATTTATTATATTATGACAGAACCAAGGTGGATTTATAAATCCACCTTGGACAGAACATAATGATGTTACGAGGTAATGTGTGCGAGAAAGATCTGACAGTCATAAACCTACTAGTAGTAGATAGGTAAATAATAATTAAGTGTTAGCCGTTAGGTTAATCGACAGAGTTTAAGTATAAAACTAGGATGACCATTGACATTTGACGCAACTAGAAGGGGAGGTTAGGCAAGTAAGCAAGTTCACTCTTTAAAAACTATTAAATCTCCCTCAGAATTTTGGTAAGCTGAAAATGTTACTTAGGCCTATGCATGGTGACTAATCAAACATTTTTCAAAAGCCCGAAGGAGTATCTATGGGTTAAAACTTTTCTAGCCATATACTCCTTATTTGGGCCATTTAGAGCAACCATGGTTCATGGATTTCTCAATAGATTCTTGATTCAGGTTATCACTTATCAGCTGCTGCATTTGCCAACTCCGTACTCTACAAAAACTAAATTTTCAGGTAGGAGTTATTATCATTGAATATTTGTTGTAAAATATCATTTTGGCTACACTGATAGGTAACCTAAAATTGATATGCGTACATTTTGTTGACAAACTGAAACAGACAGTTTTGTTGAGACTTTAATGTGTTAGTCTTTTCCGTTCCCGTCTTTATAAGGTAAGCACGTAAAATTTATCCGTTTTAATCCGTTTAAGTCTTTTTTCATTAACAACATTATTAATATTAATCGATACATCTTTACAATTAATACGTATTTCATTTACTTGTTTGGTTAATATTTCTATTATTTTTTTTTTACTTAGGCCCAATCATGGGTAAGTATGCTAAGGAACCGAAAAACCCGACTAAGTCGTGTAAGGCTAGGGGCTCAAATTTGCGAGTTCACTTCAAGGTAAACGAATATAATATAGACCATGTTGTTTTTTACTATTCTAACTAAGTGAATAATTATATAGAACACGAGAGAGACGGCCAAGACCATCAAGAAGATGCCTCTCCGTCGTGCTGTACAATTTTTGAAAAATGTGAAGGATAAGAAAGAATGTGTACCGTTCAGAAGGTTCAATGGCGGTGTAGGCCGTTGTGCACAAGTATATATTGGAGTGCTGTTAAAATTGAAGAACCTAAATTAACTCTTTGTTTGGTTTTTAGGCCAAGCAATGGGGTATGACTCAGGGACGCTGGCCCGAAAAGTCTGCAGAGTTTTTGTTACAACTTTTGAGGAATGCTGAATCTAATGCTGACATTAAAGGATTAGATATAGATCGTTTGTTTGTTGAACACATTCAAATAAATCGTGCTCCTTGCTTGAGGAGACGTACATACAGAGCTCACGGTCGAATTAACCGTAAGTTAAATTTTATTTTAATAAAATAGCGAAATTTGGATATAAATAACTACAATATAAGTAAAAATTAATTTTAAAAATTTCAATGACTAGCAATGCATACATTTTATACAAAACACCATTGTATCGTCATGCATTATTTGTGAATTGTTTGAGTTGATTCAAATATCTCTTTGTTTTATTATGTTTGCAAATTAAATAATAACGTTTTGAGTTTTACGAGTAGGCAACAAAAAAATAAATTTTTTTTATTTAGTACTCAACTGATATTAGTTTCGTATTCAGTCACATAATGAAATAATCTTATCGGCATGCTTAAACATTTTTTGTATGATATAATTTCATAATAAAAGTGCTGCACTACTTTAGTTTCTGCATTTAAAATGTGTTTTGATTGATTTAAAAACTAAGCATAAAAGTTTTGGATGATTTATAAAAAATAAAAAGTTACAAAACTGACCATTTCTTAAATGTCATAGTTCTGTTGATAACAATTCTATCAAAAAGATCCTAAGTCAGGGTTGTAATAAAAAGTTGATTTTATTTTGTATAGGTAGGTGTACTTTTATATAAAATAAAGCAACTTAAATGCAAAATCCCTCAAAAAGATGCGTTTTCTTAGATTTGTTTTTGTTGAATAATTATTAAACCGTGTATATAAATAATTTATTTAATACAATTATTTACCACTTATATGATTTTTAAGTAGCTTAAATAGCATTTTCGGATTCCCATCACACATATATATATATATATATTTATACATTAAATCATTCAATTTCAAGTTTTTTAAAAAAAGTTCCAAAAATGTATTTACTCATTAATAGGTTATATGGTGTGAAATTTTGAGCATAGCATAACAAAATAAAGAATTTAATTATTATCTTAATTATTATATATTTTTTTAAATTTGTAACTGACTATAATAATGCATAATTTTTTCCTAACTTAATTTCAACAAACAAAGAAATGTATTGATTAAAATAAATATTATAAGAGAATGCCCACTAATTTGTAGTGTGAAAATTGGGTTTGTGTATATTAATAACCTAAAGGCTGTGGTGTTACTTTAAAATTTTCCAAATTTTCGTAGAAAAATACAAACAATATGTATAATAAAAATCCAGTAGTATTTCTGAACCCTTTCGTTTCTGGGATTTTTTAAAAAAATCAAAAAATTTTTTACTTATTGGACTGATATTGATTATCATTATAGCTGTTTGATTTTTTTATATTCAATCTATACTAAAATTTGTGTTTAAAGACATTTTTGATGATGATATTACTTTGTTAATATTTTATTCGATTTTTTAAATTAAATCCTCGTATAAGGATGTCAATAATGAAAGGGTTAATTAAAAATTAAAATTTAGTAGGTTGAGTTGTTGAAAATTAAAAAAAGCTTAAGAACAGATTGTTTTTCTCTATTGAATTAAAAAAAATTTGGTTATTTTACAACAATTCCAAAACTCATTGGTTTTGATGGAAAAACAATTTTTATTAGGAATGACTGATAATCTGACGAAAAAAGACAAACATTAAAGAATTTTTATTACGTTATAAATTTTAGTAATTGAAAGATTTTGTAACATTTTTCCTTCAGGTTTTTATACTTTTTAAATGTTAACCTTTTTAAGTACTACATTTTTCATACAGGTATTATGTCACTTGGCAGCAATTGTCACTAATCAGGGTTCTGATAAATGGGCGATTAGGAAATTTACGACATACAGTCGTTAATAGCAGTCAGGGTATTTGCCAAACCATAGTAGTGATGGCAATCCCCCAACCGTTTCAGTTAGTTCAAAAATTTGTTTGTCTAAAATAAATTTTCAAGTTTTTAAATTCATTTTTAGATGACATCAATTATTCTTCAAATAATTTATTTTTTGTTTAACTTTTGTCCAATGAAGCGTATCAATGCCTTAATTCAAAACTGCAATAACTTAAAAAATCACCCAGGTATAATTTATTTAAAAAAAAAACATTATAATTACAGAAGACAAAATCCTTGCGTACATATTTGTTGAAAATATGTTAAGTGTTTGTAGTTTTGAACAGAGGTATAATACTATAATCTAACTAGTAAACATTATAGTGGTCATTACAAAATAACTGTAATTTTGTAGTGTTTCTTTTTGAAAACATTTTTATTTATGTTCTAATAGAATATTACAATATTACAATTTTTATCTCTTTTAGTATTTGCTAGAGCTTTATTAACTTTTGAAACTTGTAAATGGTAACAAATTTATTTAAATGAATTTTTAAATTAAGATTAATTTACTTAAACTTTTCCTGAACTATAATCAGTTTTGAATAATTATTTTTAAAGTTATTTAAGTTCAAAATTTATGACAGTAAGTGGAGGGCAGTTTAATAATGTGTGCAAATAAAAAAAACTACATTTCACCCTTCCTCACGTTCTAAATTTAAAACTTATTAACTGTTCAATCAAAACTGGTTATCGACTAATCATCACTTTCAGAAATTATTCTTAATTTATAAAGTTAATAAAATATGTATTGTTCTAATTAAGTTTCCAAAGTTCACAAAGCTATAAAATAAATAAAAATTTGAATATTGTAATATAGCATAACAGACATTTTTTCAAAAAGAAAATCTACCAAATATCAATTATTTTAAGAGAAAACTTAAGGCGTTAAAAGAACTTCTCAGTTAATAGTTTAATCACAATAACGGCGTAAACTATATTAAAACTACTTATTTATTTGTTTTTATTTTATTTATAGCTTACATGAGCTCACCTTGTCATATTGAAGTTATATTAGCTGAAAAGCAGAAGTTTGTTGCAAAAGTGCCCAAGGATGAGGCTGAAAAGAAAAAAGTTTCAAAAAAGAAGTTGGCGAGACAAAAAGAAAAGCTGATGCATGAATAGTTATGGTTTAATGTATGACAAATATAAAACATTTAAAAACAAAAAAATATTTTATTTTTTATTTTATGTGTTTGGTTTAAATCGTTGAGTTATTTCCATTTGCATACACTAATATGTTAGGTTTTTCTTTATACATTTGTATTGGAAAGTTTCAGCAATGTTCTTGTGGAGTTTGACATGAATACAAAGTATTCCGTTTTACCAGACTTCCAACATCACGGTTTTGGCTAGTGGGTTTTTCTAGTGGTCATTGGATGGATTAAGTATTCATAATAATTAATATGCGAGATGGAAAGGGAAAGAGACCTCATGTCGCCAGAATCCAAATTGTAGGAGAGGCCAAAACATTATGCGGATTAATTTTACAAAGGCTATAATGAAAACTAAGAAACCAAATTTTTACATAATGTAGACAACATTGTCTGTGTTCTACAATCGCCCCTTTTTTAATATTTCAACCAGTTGATGAATAATTAATTAAGAAAGGACTTTTTTAAAAATGATATAGCGTTGTTTTTATTAGGTATATCGAAAAATACGGATAATGGAACACAGAACATTTTGTCATAAATAATATGTATGAATTTCTTTCCTTAACTATTTAGAACTATTTGAGAAAAATTAATCTGCGCAAAGCAGTTTTGATGGCAAAAAAATTGTATTTTATCCTATAGAAATGAATGATAGTCTGACAAAAAAAATGGCAATCAACAAAGTTTCCTCGATACTGAATTAATAAGTATATATTTTAGTTCAAACTAAATTAAGATTTTTCGAAAAATTGCCTATACTTTACTCGTTAGAAATGGCCAGTGTGGCGTCCTCTTAAGGGCACTTTATTTTAATTTTTTGTTTAAGTTTCATTCATTATGTATATAAAATAAAGAGTTTTTTTATTCAAAAAACAATTTTCCGGAAGTAAATTCAAACTAATATTATATAACTCGGCTAATTTTCAAGATAGAAGAACGATTCTGATCACAAAATGTTCAGAATTTGGAATAACTCAAAACTTTTCTGGTCTCTTTTACCTCACATATACGGGTTGAGGTTTTAAAAACAGTTTTATTTTGTTGAACTAGACTTAAATTAACATGGATGTCTATGCCTAGCAACTACAATAGTTGGCTTGGTTAAAGTAGATCAAACAAATTATTTTAAGGCGAATGGGTACCGGCCAGTAATAAAATAATAAAATACTGATCATGAAAAGCTAGTAAAAATTGTTGACAGGTATTTTGTCTAAAAATTCACATTTTTGTTGATTTCAAAGTGACTTTATAATAATTACTGTAGATCTGTGCCCTTTATGCCTCATTATTTATTATAATATGTAAAAAGTATGTTAATATTATAAATAAAACAATTGTATAAAGTTTGTCGTTTATTTGTGAAGGAACGTTTATACTTTTATAACAAATGGGCTATGAACTTCCGTTATTTTAACGGATGTTTATCATAATCATATTTACTTATCACATGTCGGAGAGTTTATTGGTATTTTCAGAATTTCCATTGCATTAATAAATCTATTTTTAATTTGAAGTACTAGACAGTTGTTTGAACTTGCAATATTAATTTTAGGTGCAATTAATTAATAATAAGTAAAAAATAAAAATACCTAATATTATGTTTAGGCGGTTATCTTAAATAAGGTGTACCAAATATTTTGTTATAGTTGCCTGTATAAACTTCAATAAAAAAATTGTTGAAGCACTAACAAAATAAAGCTCCTCGAGTAATAGTGTAAATGGTAAATCTAAGTGCAACTAAAATGTTGACCATCTATAGGCAAAATAGAACAGTTAATAACTCAACTATAATTATGATAAAAATTAAAAGAAAAACGTTAGAAACGACGCTATGATAGACTAAAAAAAAAAATAACATGCAAAGACCCCTATTTATACTTAATTTGCAAAAATACTGTAATTGTCTATGCAGAAATATTGGAAAAACGAAAAATATGTTAGGCGTAGTGTCCTTGGTAGAATGTGTTGAAACACTTGAAGTATACGAAAAAGCCAATACCGCCTTTCCAATAATATTAATATGACTTAGCAGTTAGGCTTAGACAGTAGACCTAACCACCCATTACAAAAATTAAAGATGATTCATGACAATCTTACCTACGTGCCTAGAAAGAGGTACCTCTTTGACAATATTTATAATAGTCAACATTTGGTGTCTGGCTTAAAAAATGGTATATTGAAGTGTGTTTTTATACGCACAATGTTGAGAATATCTAAATCCATAATGAATAAATTACATAATCAATGAAAATAAAATAGTGCAGATTAAACATCATTACGTCATTTTTTAAAATTGATCTTATAATATTAGATTTCTTAATGTAATATAAACGAAGAAAGAAAAATGTAAATAAATAAAGACAAAAGACGGCCTCCAAATGAATAATGATATGATAGATAATTAAAACAAATTTTGTTGATTTTTGTACTAAGAATACAGTACATATTACACAAATGGTGCTTTTTAAAAACTTTGGAAACTGTAAAAAAACATACGTTTTGTAATATTTAAGTTCTTATTAGTTGAAATTAAACGAGAAGTTAATACTATAAAATATATGTATTATGTCTGGTATATGGCTCTTAGTTCTTATATAGGTTTACGTATACGGTATATTTGATTAATCTGCATATAGACGAGTAATAAGTAATAATAGTATAAATAATAAAAAACTGAGTAAAACTTGTGGTTATATACAGTGAGTAATAAAAATAAAAAGTATTGAAAATACATTTTACCACCAAAATTTATTTTTCGCAAATTTATCATCAGCGTCCACAACACTGAAATACCGAAATACCTATACGCTACTATTGGTAAATGAAAAGTGTATCGTATTTTATAGCGATAGGTATTTTTTAGTATTATATATCTACTTAAGTAATAATAGTGTTCCTTATATCGTATATATGTAAATGATCTAAGTAATATTCATATGCACCAGCTAGTAAATTTGTATACATAATAAAAAAGTATTGTTATCGGGGATTTTTTCTCGGCTGTCATCTAGGTAGGGTAAATCCATAAAAAATATTTTGTACCTTTATCTACATTTAACTGCTTTTACTCGTTCGCACTTACTACATCCTATACTGAAATCCAAACTTCCGCTTCATTACAAAATTCTTATTTATAAGTCAATGTTAAGACTAATTTGGTCATACGGAGCTCAAATATGGGGTTGTGGTAAACCATCCCAACTAAAAAGAATAGAAGCTTTCCAATCGATTTCCCTCCGTACAATCACGTCCGCTCCATGGTATGTTTCCAACCTCACCCTTCACAATGACTTACACATCGAATCAGTTGAAAATTTAGTTAAGACTCATTATAAAAAAATCCACTCTAGATTACTCCTCCACTCGAATCCATTAATAGCAATCCAGCACACAGCTACTATTCAGGACAACCCCCCTCGTCGTCTTAAAAGACCTCCTAAATTGTAATGCTACCGTTTAATTTCTAGCCGAAACCTGTCATAGGGTCCTATCACTGGATAGCTTCCCTACTCATAGTCTACAAGTCATTTATTACATTGTTAGTTATTTTCTTATTGTATATTTTGTATGTACAGATTGTAAATGTTATTTAAAAAATAAATAAATAAATAAAAAAACTGCTTTTAAATGTTTTGACTTTGAGTTTTGACTATGTAAAACTGTTTTTCCCCTGCCAAAACCACTAATGTTTTCAGAGATAAGAGATACTTGGAGATAACACTTGGAATGTAACTGTGGTAACCATAATGTGGGGATTGAGTTGAAGATTGGGAACGAGGATGGAGTTGGAGATAGAGATGGGCTTGATTTCTTTGCCGTATATTTCAGCTACGGTATTCCTGGTTCCGACCAGTTAACTTGAATGAATGGTTAAATTTATTCAAAATAAATAAATAAATCAATTAAGGCCAAATATTAAAAAACTACTAAAAAAACTTTTGGCCAACCAAAAAAAATGTTAAAAATTAAAAATGTAGGTATACTTAAATTGACATTTACTCGGTCAAAAGACATATACATGTGCCTATGTATCCGCTTGAAGTGTGGATACTTTTAATTTTATTGTTATCTTACTAATATATTTGCTGATAATTTTTTTAATATATATTTATTTGTATTTTCTTTTTATTAATTTTAATCGTATTTGTGTTCAAGTGGCTTGTCTTTAATTACGAGGGAATTATAATTAAAACACGTTTTACTGTAAAACGCTATGCCGGCCAATAATAATTCATGATTGTAATTATAAAATATTGACCGAATAGGTGTTTCTCCGAGCGGTCGAACTGTTGAAAGAACGGGCAAAGCGGATTTGCAAAAGTATTTTACATAATATAATATTGTTATTCTTAATAATGAATAGGTTGTACTTCGAGGCGGTGCGGTTCCTTAAGTGTGTGTAAGTGTTTGTGTCCAAGAACATTCCACCACGTGCAAAGGGTCGTCTGAGTAAAACGGAAAGGGCTGTCCTTACTAGGGGTTTTTTTGTAGGGGGCCCACAGTAGCGGTATTTAAGGTCCACCCGCTGGCCGAGACTCGCGCAGACGCATAAGCCGCAAAGCGTAAGGGATCGTGTTGAACAAAAGCACGGGATGCGTTGATTGGTCCGATCGACGGGACCACCCCCTAGTAAGAATGCACACACTCGCGGCTGAACTTGGGGTCGTGGTATTTCGCCGAAAGCGTTTATTCTCATCCTTCGGTCGGTGCGGTCGCAGGACGTTTACTGTAGCTGTTATCGTACTTAAGGCAACTCACAGCAACGCTTTCGACGTTCAAGCTGGGCGACATCTGGTAAGTAAACACAATATTCAATATTCTCGCAGTGTACCTAGGTACGAATAATATTTCAGAGGTTATCGTTCAGTAAATATACTATTATATATAGCACTTGGAATAGGAAAAAAATCAGACGGTTTTCGCATCATAATGCTGAATCCATAACAGTAGGAGTGAAGTGCGGTATACGTCTCTAGTCTAGGACAATATACTTTTGCAGCTCCTAATCAAGAATTTAGGTTTATAACACCAACATTTTAAAATGTTTGTCCATAACGTTCTTTCTATACGTTTTTAATAAAAATAATTTGTTTTATTTCACTGATACTTTAATTTTTTAATTTCAATTCTTTAAATTGGCAAGAATACATTTTTAAATAACAAAAAATCTTTAAAAATACTATGTCAAGTTAAGGGAATTAAAAGCGGTCTGTTTTTAAGGAGTTTTCACTAGGCAATATTTGTGAAAAAAAAATGTTTTAATATATTTCGAACATGTTAATTAATTTTCCGGTTAATGTGTATAAGCTTCGAGGTATTATTTTCAATTTATATAAATTTTTCAATGAGTAAAACTCTAAAAGTCATTTTGGCTTATTTTAAACCATAAGGCTAGACAAAATTTCGACTACTTACTTACTTGGATGGTCCAACTTCAACTGTAAAGATCTTTGAGTTCTTTGGCTACTTTACTATGTTATGTAGGAGACGGATTTTTTGCTTATTTTAGGGAAAAAAAATGTTTTTTAATGTTACAAATGTCTTCAAATTTAATTTATTTAATTACAAGAAACTGAACTTTTTAAATAAAAATGAAGTTGACTCATTAAAAAAATGGAAAAAGTTAAAAATAATACTTTAAAGCTTATACAAATTAATTTGTTAATAAATTAAGATGGTCCAAATGTATTAAAACCCTCTTTTTTTAATTATTATTTATAAAAAACTCACTAAAACTCGTCTGCTTTCAATCACCTTAAGTGCGAATTACTTAACTATTCAGTTATTTAAATGGCTATTAATTTGAATTACTTTTTAAAACAACTTTTTTAATAGATAGAATAGAATGTAGCTATTTGTTATTATTTTGTTTAACATTTTAAGTTGAAGTTAAAATTGTTTGTTTTAATTGTGAAATACTATGGCTTAAGAAGACACCATAAATATATAAAATGTGAAACGATGTATAATTTAAATGCCTTTACAAATATTAAAGTAGTTGACGATTACTGTACCTATAAATTTGTTGAACATTCATAATTAGCTAGTTAAAATCCTACTAGCTAGTTATAATTAATTTTTTCAAACATTAAAAAAATTGCGTTGTTTGTGTTAGATTATAAGTAATGTTTAAAGTACCAAGCTAAAAAGTTCAGGCAGTTTTCTCACTAAGGGCAACATTTTTAATAGGGTAGCCAGTAGTGGATAGTGGCGCAAAACAAAATAAATAACGCGATTAACCTTGCCCTTCCTTCCAAACATCTTAAATACCTCCCTCTTTCTCAAAATGCATGAGCATCCAAAATTAATTTAGATTACATTATAAATCAACATAGGAGGAGGACCTACGAATGGCTGCGACCTGCGATATCTTCCTTAAAAACTCCCTTATTAGCTCAACAGTAAAAAAATATTAATATTTTAGCAGTAATGCGGTAACTGACAACCGTTTTTATTTATGTAAAAAGCGTGAAAACATTATCTTGCAAAATTACTCAACTTACTTACATAATACTATTCTATAAGCATTTCCTAGAGAACTAATAGGACCTAAGTACGGGATAAACTCCCGGGTACATAAAAATTAACTACCACTAATAGTGTGCAATCAGTGGCCTTACAGAGATTCTGAAAACAGAGCAAACTTGCATTTCTACGTCTATATGTAAGAAAGCACAAACTTAACAGACACAAAATAATATTCATATGGAAAGAGTTTAAATTGTAGAACATAGGTGACCAGAGTCCAAAAGTTTCGTTTAACTCGCTTTAGTTGAAGGAATTAAGGAAATAATTTTTTTTGTAGATTTTATTTATACTTGAAAAATTATTTATATTCATTGTATAATATTTTAAAAAAATTGAAAGGTTCACGGCATAAATATTTATATTTTATTTTAAAAAACAATTTAATTAAAAAAACGAATGTGAATAAATTATTATTATTATTATCATAATATAATCAAATCGTGTTGTCACATGGAGATTTTCATAATTATTGTGTAGGCTATACACAGCAGAAACTTTAAACTTTAAAATGTTTATTTATGAATTAATAATATGTCAGTAAAGCTTATACCAGTGCTTAACACATTAACGCTATTGCCAAAATGAGTATAAATTACATTTGATTTAGGTTAATGGTACAAATATTAACTTGCGTTTAGAGTTTAAACTAAAATAGAGATTTTTTATTTAATTTAAATATTCCCTTCTATTAACTTTTCTTTTGAAATTATTTTTTTATATCGCTGGAGTGATATAATTTGTAAGTACACATTTTTCTGAAGTAGTATCAATGGACACTATTCGTTCAAGTCATCCAGCTTTGTAAGTACAAATTAGCCTTTCAATCAAAAATTCGGACACAAATCAAAAATTAGGACACATTTTATCGAACAATTGCTTCTTTTCTATTTTATCTTAAGCGAATAAACCTAGATGAAAATAAATAGTATATGCTGTTATAAAACAAAACATATCTTTACAGCATAACATAGAAGCTAAACCATTTTTGAGTAGGTAGGTACTTACTCGAAGTACCTACGCTTAAAATGTATTGAAAATGCGAAATTCCAAGTTATTAATCTGATACATTTGAATGATAGGATACAAAACAGTACTTTATTAGGAGTATGCTGTATGTATATGATCATTTATAATTATATGATTCTATATAATTCTATGATTATACTATAACAATTCATTGAACACTTTTACAGTGCAAAAAATGTGCTTTAATTGAATTTAAAGGGTTACACGTTCAGGTCCTACTGTGGAATCATAGGCCCTAACCGAAACCACATCAGAATTAAGTTGGCTTTACATAATACGGTGTGTGCGTGGAAATATGCACGTGTTCATTAAATAACGTATAGACAAACCCAAGCACAATTATATTGCTGGTAATCATATAGGTACTCGGTAATCGATTAAAGGTATCGCACACAGCCCTCGAACGGCTGGTGGTTTTTTTTAACTAGGAATATTTTATGCCGTGTGAACCTGACCATATTGTCAGACATATAATATAATTTGCTCGTGTTCATCGAGTAGGTAGTAGTAATAATAATGATAATAATAATTGTTTGAATACAATACATGATGATTTCGTGTGTGAAAGGAAATTCTACATTTTAATATTTTATAATAATTGTTATTATTGCAGAAAAAACGGAATGGTAACTGTACCTCGCAATTATATTATACTTAACAACTGTACGTAAATATAGCATTCGTTACGATTACTTAAACAAAAACCAGATTAAAATAGAAAATAACACCACTAGTTTTTTTTTAAAAAATTAATATTATCCAACGTAGCAGACTCTAATAAAATTAACGCCCGTTGCAATTTACGGCCAGAAGGTATAGAATACTAATACAATACAAAATTATTAATAGATGAAAAATAAATATAAGTTTATGATATTAATCGATGGGTAATGATTGTTCACTGAAAATGTATTAAAATTGTATCCTCTTGGTCATTGTTCGAACAGGTGTTAAGTATTCTTAGAAAGTTAAATTATTTTTAGTTGTCGTTTTAGCTCTAAATTAAACGCATGTTTTTAAATTTTTGCGTTTTAAGATCACAGAGTACATCCATACTCGATCATTTCTATGATCATATTATAGCCAAACTTCATATTATTTTCTAATAGATTTAAAAAAAAAAATTAATTTATCCAAATGAAGATTAAGAAAACATTATAACCTAGCTGTTATATTCAATATTTGCAAAACATTTAATTTTAAGACACGGCGAAGGAACAATTCTAGTGAATAGATTTTTAATTAGTTTGTTATAAAGAAGATCAATAAGGATGTATTTAAAAATTTGAGGGCCATTATATTTTTTATGTTTTGTAAAAACATCGCACATAAAACAATTTTTTAAATTCAGTTAAAGAATAGTTTTCTTAATTGTGAACCAACAAAACTTGGTTGCTGATTAAGTGTTAACTCAAATATTTGGTAATTTTCGTTATAAGTTTAAAATATTTAAGTTCAAAAAATTCTTTTAAACAATAATCACAATTGGGACAATAATTTTACTTAGCTTTGAAGTTTGACCAGAACTTACATAATAGTTGTTTTACACACTAAATTATAGAACTAAAATTGAAGTACTATATTTATAGTATTATTTAATTTACTTTAAGTACTACTCGTAGTAATTAAATATCTATTGAAATTGTATTAAAACTAATTTTGGATTATTAACATTGACTGACAGGCAGGATAAGAAGACGAAAGGTTTAGTAAGATTACACTATCATCTAAGCTTACACTTTTCTGTATTCAGAACTTCAAAAATAATTAACAAGAAATAAGGTTAAATAAAAGTTGATTTCATAACCAAGCTATTGTCGTTTTATTAACAACCAAATAAAATACATTAATTATCGTTCGAATTTAAAAAATAACTCTTAAAACTACTCATGTCAAAAAATAATTTGTTGTCAACAATAATTTATTATTTTAAATTGCTACAACGAATTTATTGTTTTATCATTAATTTTCTAACGTTCAACCATTGTTTATGGGTTTGTCCGTGAAATCATATTCCGTTTTAGACAATCGCCATAATACGTTTATATAAACTTAACTTCTACGCCTCTTGCGTTTGGAAGTTGACTAGGTATTCACGAAGGACGTTATTTAAATTATCTTGCAACATTGACTTAAGTAATAACACCGGTATTAATTCAATAATAATAATGGGTTTGTATCTAAATACATTGATTTGTATATAAAACGATGATGAATTCAGCAATTCTGGTAATAATTGAATGTTGCGAATCAATTTGTAATGGATTGTTAGGGATGTATACAACATCAGGTACCTGTCCCGCCCTGCCCAAAGGCTTATAGGGAGCTCGATCGCATTACGCCCCATCGTAATTATTGCTGTACCCGTCACAATATTACACAACAATTATTTAATAACAATCATAATTATAGTACATATTATTATTATATTATTATTGTGCAGCGTTCGGTTAAAATTGTAACGATGAAAACGCGATTAGATTTTTGTGGTCCGGAAAATTACATTACCGTTTCTCTGTACGCTTCGCTCGTTGATCGAATAAATCCCCGCTGTTCAATATATTTTTCTAGTATATTATATATATATTGGTCATGTATTTATTGTTTTTGTGCGTTTCCTCAGCTGACTGCAGTACAAATAAACCGAAATTTTTGTTAATATCCAATAATTTTCAAGATATATATTTCCCTAATCGATTCTAATACAGTTAAACTTTTTCAATAATTTAACTTTTAAAACAAAAAAAAAAAGGAATTTTAAATCAAATTTATATCATTAACAAAATCAATGTTAATTTCTGGAGCCCAAAGACAGAATTTAAATAATCATGACACCAAGTATTAAAAAATGGTGGACTTAAACATTTGATTTTTTTTGTTCAAATTGTAAATTATAAACACAGTTATTTATTTTATACTGATTATATCATTATTTGTTTGAAATGGATATTCAAAAACTTCTTCACTCGTGTGATTCCCTCAATTGTTCATTATAATAATATGCCGATTGAATGATAGTTGATACCTATTAAAAAATCTATAAATATCCATTAAAATATTACTATCGTAAACGCGAATACCTTGACTGATTAAAAAATAATTTGATTTTTAATATTTATTAAAACGAAATAATTTAAAATGGCGCGATAAACTATTCGTTAACTCTTACACGCATGTTATTAAAAATCAAATCATAATATAGTCGACTCACCCCTTTATACGTTATTAAGCAAGGACGTACTTTATTTTTAGTAAAAACGATTATTACAAATATGTAATATAAAGTATGTTTCAAGTGTTAGACCATCATTATCTCTTCTCAACATTAAAAAGTTATTCTTCACTTTCTATTAAGTGAAAAAAACAGTTATCAAAAAGAAAAATAACTCTACAAAAAATAAAATAAAATAATTTACATTTTTCTTAATCAAAAACTCTTAATAAATAATTATTAAAAAATTCAAAGACATAATGTTGTTTTTTTTCTCAACTCAGCATAAGTCAAACAAACGTCTTCTTATCAAGAGTTAGTCAGTCCTATACATATTCATTTGTTTTTTGCTTTTGTAACTTTCTTGACAAAACGCATAGACAGAATAGAGAGGAGGGGGGATCTTAGGAATTTTAATAGCCCCTAAAAGCTTGCAGTTTTATTTACAGTTAATCATATTATTTCGAAAAGTAAGACATTTAAGAACATATTATTTTATTCTTCAGCCCTTCGAATCTTAAATTAATTTTCACCAATGCCAATGTTATTGTACATTTTCTAATAATGTATAAATATATTATTGTGCTTAGATACAAAAGATGACGGTCAGTATAAGTACTCGTGGACAAGTACTAGATATTTTCAATTATCTCATACAGTTAAACAAATTGTACGTACACCACACGAATGGTTCCGGTCATTTGGCTTCTAGGTGAATACTCATGTCATGATGGCGTTGAAATAGAAACTTTGTACCGGCACTGCACGGTTTAGAATGGTTATGTTATTGGGCGGCGAGTGGGAGGGGAAGGTGCATTTATCGCTACGGCGCGACATTTAAATTATTTAAAACGTCTTTGACCTATACAACTACCGAGAGGTTTTTAATTTTAATTTTTATGTTTCGATCGTAGTTAGTTTTAATTAGAGCCAACCCGCCGCCGACCGTGAACAGACATGGGGCGCACCTACACGGAGGGGACAGGGGAGGGTCGAAGACGTATTTAAAGGCGAACGCCAGGTTTAATACCCACCTTCTGCCTCCCCTTCACTGCCAGCTCCTTCATGTTGTACACGCATCACTTCGTTAGCCATTGGAAAAACGCTCGGCTCTTTTGGCGAAACGTAACGAGTAATTATCGACGGATTACGACCTCGGCTCTCCGCCTCCCCACCTCTCCGACCGGGGTCAGATTAACTCTCCCTGCCGCTTCTGTGCAATTGTGTTGTAGCCGTTCATCCCTCGGCGGCAACCACTTCAACCAGACACGTTGTCCTCACCGTTGAATGCCAGTCAAAACCGATCTATCCCCCGACCACCCCACATCACCCTTTTGTTCGCCCACGTCGGTTTACCCGTCTCAAACGGTTCTCGGTTTAATCAATTTCGCCATTTCCAAGACCGCTAACGAATGCGCGTGTACTTGTAATTATTATGACTGTAATACGCGAAAACGGCGGATCCTAATTGTTTTTATCCATTTTTTAATCATATCGACAAAACCCGCCATCAGAATATTATGCTTATATAGAAATAATAATAATATGTTCGCTTGGTTTAGTTGTACATTGTATTTAATCAGTGGTATATATATAGAAGGCGGTATTCGGTAAAAAAAAAAAGTTTGGGTACTTTAATTATTACCATATCAATGGTGAAATACTACATAGGACTATGGGGCTTATTAAGGACCTTAGTATTCTTTTCGACCCTAAACTTAAATTTGACTGTCACATTAACAGGTCAAACAAAATCTTATTCTATTTTTTATCATACAATTGTTCACGATGATTGTTTTTATTATCTTCTATAATTTAATAACTGGGCTTGACCCGTTTAAAACATAAATAAATAAATAAAATAAATTGAAGAAAATCATTAATTTCACACGCTACAAAAAATAAATAGTTTAAATAAAGTACATACATTTTAATTTTTATATCGTAGTAACAGTTGTTACAGTATAAAAATACTCTCGCGTATGTCTGTATTGTCGTCGTTATTATTTTAGTAATTAATTGTTATATTTTCTCATGTGTTACAGAAAGATGACGTTAACAAAAATGGATCAGAGATTCCAGTTGATCGGTCATCACAGGGACGACAAACAAATCGAATCTCCCAGGGCGCTTAATCCGGTGACCAACAATTCGAAACCGAACAAAGTAAGTGGAAATACTTCTTAATTATTGTGAGCCGAAAGCAGGATCATATAGAGTAAATTGTGGTTAGGACAAGCTATTATTTTTTTCAATCACACGAACGTTTCAAATAATAATTACACACAAAAACAAAAATGACAAATAAATTCCATTGGCATTAGTAATGGTTAAATATTTCCTTGTGTCAATGTATAAGCCCTCAAATAGCGTTAATTAAAAATAATTTCCTAATAATCCACTGTGGTCGTTCTATTATAAATCCTAATCATTTATTTCTAATATTTATGAGGTGTGTTTTGGGGAAGAAAACATTTTGGAATGATTCCTCCCCAATTTGCCATAGTTTACGGGGTGGAGAAAACGTTTTTTTTTAACCCCGTCAAAATGTTAAATGTCAATCCGATATTGATGATTGCACAGGAGGGTTTTGCAGGAATTAACGTGGAATAATTTATTTCTTGTTTCATCATTATCTTGTGAGAAACCCAAGAAAATGCCAAATTTTATTTTAAACCATCTATTTTTACTACCCACATAGTGCGAAATTGAGTTTCCGACCATACTGCATAATATTTTTTTTTCAAAGTTGACCACGTAAAATTTGGATGATTATTTGATCAAATATAATATAAGCATCGGGGACTTAGACTTTTATATCAAACAATTTATTAATATTATTTATTTTCTTGAGACGCATGAGTTCCTGTCATGTTAAAACCAGTATTGGTCCTTACAAACTTTAACACAACTCAACTGGGAGGAGGGCTAATGCCTAATACCCCTTGTGCCCACCCCTAAGCCACTTACGAACTTATGTAAACATAATTAAGATAAATTATAATAGGTATTGTAGTGTTATAGAACAGTGAAAAAACATTTGAGTAGGTTTTATTTTGTCTGTTGAACCTGCAGGTAGGCACGGTCGTCCTATACGGCGTGCCAATCGTTTCGCTGCAGATGGACAACCAAGAGCGGCTGTGTTTAGCCCAGATCAGCAACACGCTTCTGCACCGGTTCAGCTACAACGAAATTCACAACCGGCGGGTAGCGTTGGGCATCACTTGCGTGCAGTGTACGCCAGTCCAGTTGGAAATGCTGCGTCGGGCGGGCGCCATGCCGGTGTCGTCGCGTCGGTGCGGCATGATCACTAGGCGAGAAGCTGAACGGCTGTGCAACTCGTTCTTGGGCGACAACACGCCACCTCGATTGCCCGACGACTTCGCGTTCGCCGTCCACCATGAATGCGCGTGGGGTTGTCGCGGCTCGTTTCTGCCGTCCCGGTACAACTCGTCCCGCGCCAAGTGCATCCGTTGTACGATCTGTGGACTATTCTTCTCTCCCAACAAGTTCATATTCCACTCTCACCGGACGGGCGTCGGTGCACGTTACGTACAACCGGACGCCGCGAACTTCAATTCGTGGCGTCGGCACATGAAACTAAGCGACGACCCGCCGGACCACGTGGTGCACGCCTGGGAAGACGTCAAGGCCATGTTTAACGGCGGTACGCGCAAACGGGCCGTGCCGTCCAGGCCTTCGCCGCAACCTACCGGTTCGTCCGCGCCGCAACCGCCGCCGACGCGATCACCACAGCTTCCGCAGCCGGTGTCTGCCGCCTTGCCGCCACCGTCGGCCCACCAGCACGATGTAAAAAAACAGCATATGGCCGTCTCGCTACAACAGCCGTCCGTACCGGTGCCGTCCATGCCTCTGCACCAAGCCATGGTCGACTACGTTTGGCAGCAACGGGCCAACCCGTTTGCGGTAGCTGCTGCAGCCGCGGCCGCGTATTCGGCCGGCGGCGGATTGCCGTGTTGGCTTCCCAAGCTCGAACTGGACCCGCACAGCGCGCTGGCCAACCGCGGTGCGGCCGTCGATTATTCGTCAGCGTTTCGGCCTATCTATCCAGTCACAATGGCCGACGAAGACGAAGTCGGTTGCGGACGTCTTGCGGCCGACAAAAACGGCGGCGGCGAAGACGACGACGACGACGACGAGATCGATATCGAAACGTGTCCCGACGAACAGGATTCGTAATATGCTAGACGACGGCTTGTGCTCGATGGTGAAATAGGGCGAGCGATTATCGTTATCACAGCCTTGACAGTCGTTTGGATCGATATAATTATTGTGAAGTGTTATCGTAAAAAAAAATCTATAAATTGTATAGGTACTGTGCTAGCGTTATGCATTTTGACCATTATATATAAATTTGTTTTATCAGATCTTACTAAAATTAAATATTTTTATTTATATTTATCTACATATAAATCAGTGCCTGTGTAATAAATAGTAATTAGTAAAATTAATATTAAAAGTTGATATAGTTATGATAAAATCGAAAAAAATATTAAGAACTGCTTCTTAACGTACATGTTGTTATGTGTTATAATAGATTAAGACTAGATGGGTACGTACCTATATCACCCTCGTAGTGTAAATAATTTATTTAATTCCCACTGATGTTATTAATTTTTAATAATTAATACAATCAGTTAGTAAACCTTAGCTAATAATAATAAACGTAAGTTCTTATTTTTTTTCTAACAACTCTGTAGATTGCACGCTTTTGATTTATTATTATATTTTATTATTGTTGTAATAATTACTAATATTATTTTTGTATACAGTAATTTAGTTTTTTTTAATAAACAATGCACTTTGAATGTGTTTTTTATGTTATACATTTCAATAAAAATTAATAAGTTATTATAATTATCAGTTAGTAATTTTGTCTAGCCATATTAACGATCTCTGTTCTATCGTCATAGAAAAAATATGTTACGTTATATTGTTATAATAATAAACAATGTATCTACTATAACGCAACAACATTATTGAGTAATAAATTGTAATTTGTACATCAATATATTTTTTTTTTGCAGATCATAATATAAAAGCATTTTTGTAAAGTAAGAAAAAAAAAGGTTTTTTTTACAAACTATTTTTATTGAGTTTGCAATTTGATTATTATCCTTAGAGCCAGAGCACAACACAATTATTTGTTTAAATGCCATCATCTAGACCATAATAACGTAAAGTTCAACTTTAACCATTATTAACGCTGCTTTTGTTGAGCCCATCCATTCACGCACAATTACAATTCCCTATTTTAAAAATGTTTTAATAAATATTAATATGTAATAAATGAATAATGGTTTTTTTTAATTTAAAAAACGGCTTGAAGAACGCCGGGCCCAGGAGCACCGTGGTGGGTATATTGTATATCATGTTATTTAAACAAATGAAAAACAGTTAACCTCTGCAAGCCCTGCGTGAGCTGTCGAGGGGCGGCGATTGTAGTGTAAAGGAGAAATCCGAGACCGACGTGTCGTATAATTAAAAGACGGTTCCCGAGGGACCGGGCTTAAGGTCAACGGTTGACATTTTGCAAAAACCATTTTAAACGTCGCTTTCAAAGCGAATCGGAAACGGTCCCGGACGAGCAACACACGCATTTAAACATTATGTTACTACATTACTGTTAATAAGATAGTATAATATGTCAAGTGTGAGTGCACAAAGTATTGGACATTTCGCGAACCAACAATACAATTGTTACTTACAAAGTTATAACTATTAATAAGAGTAGTACCTAACTAATATTGAAAGGAATAACTTTATAACAGCGACCTCTATATTTAATTTGTTAATGGAAGCAGAATAATATAATACAAATAATAACCAATTGTTGAACCTGGTTTTGAATAAATACTTTTTCAGTTATTGGTATTCAAAACTATAGGAGAGGAGTGGTTTAGTAGAGCTCTGCCACTCTTTCGGCGTATACATTAAATACCCACATGGCTTCCTTGAGACGTTTCCAATATTCTCGTGGTTATCGTTGTTCAAGATTGCTAGTAGCACGTAGCTTCTTCCGCGAATTCGATTGTCGCCAAGTCCTTCTCGGTTAGGTTCTTTTACGTTACCGGATGTGTCACGTACAACTTAGTAAGATGCATATGTACCAAAGATGAAAGAGCTGAACACGTAGATATAATGTACTTTCTCGTAGGCTTCTTTCAAACAGCTTTCTACTGTGGTCTCCGACGTATACGATAATATGGTTTCCTCTATATTGAATGATTCTCCTACGAACCCTCTGTTGATATTACGCAGAAATTGGAATTTGTCTTTTAACGACTTGTATTATTTCTTTGTTGTCGGTGTACTTTCACAGCCGATGACTAGTACACGAAAACACACCGATGTAAATAAAAGTAGACTTATCTTAACTTTTAATTGCGAAGATTTTCAATATGGCGGACAACAAAGGCTATATTTAAAGTATCTACGTTTAAAATATTGAAAAGGTACATCTGTTAGATTTTAGTTGTTATTTACACAGGGGAAAACGTGTGGTTTAACACAGTGACAGTCTAATTTTACAGTAGACTTTTAGACTATTAGATACATAGTTTTTTTTAAAATAAATTATAAGTGAGATTATTTCAAATAAAATTGTCTTAAGACATAATGAAAAGTTTAGTCAAAACAACTATGTAGCTATTTAGTATGGAGTCAATTATAAAATCATTTATATAAAAAAATATCAGGTCGTAGTTAGAGTTACAACCACACTTATTTACTTACATGAATACGTATTACTGTTCTTTTTCGAGGACATGATTATAACTTGAGTGCTCGTGAAAAGGGGTTATGTCAATAATTACACTGACTTAAAATATATAGCACAAATAAATATATGTGTAGACGTTGTATTTGCCTAATAAAAAACATTTAAATCCAACTGTCGTTGTGCAGTTATTTTCTCAGATCGGTTACAAATATTTGTATGATCACATACCGCTGCGTTGGCTAGAACTATACCCAACAACCAAATATCATTTTTTTTGTATTGTTTTAAAATGTTAATATATAATTATTACTCGTGTAAAACGCCCGATTTTAAAACCGTAATAAATTTAAAAAGAAAACTTTACTCGTGGGCCGCAATGAGTATGAGTGAAATGTATATGTGGATTCCAAACAAAGTTAACGTATGTTCCTGCGGGGAAGACACGGATCAGGTAAATATAACCGGTACGAGAAAACCCCTGTAGGGCATGGCCTTTGTCTGATACGCTTCTACTTAATAGAAGCCAAAGTGTGTGCTAAAGGAATTAGAGAGAGAGAGTTGTGTGCGGTGTGTACAATGTTCTGCTTCGAGCAAACGGAAAACGGTAATAATTAATGAAAAATTGCCGGCCGGGACTTGGGTTTCGCGTGTATGCTTGTTCGTCCGGGTTCCATTTGAACGCAGTCCAATGAATACAATCATTGTAATTATTCGTTTGCAAGTTTAATCGTGCCAGCGAGAACGTGAATATTTTATGAGCCCAACGCAGAAGAAAGGGCCGTTTTTCTTTGCACCGAGTCTTGTCGCCGTTTAAATTGACATTTGTTTTTCATGACTATTTACCAATCGAAGGACGTCGAGCTTTTAAGCGGCATCGGACCCCCGTCAATGCATACACCTCGTCGTACCGACTTTCTCGTTTCTCCATCGATAATTATTATGCTATATTATATGTGTATTACACGTGCAAGTGCATCGTCGAGGAATCGTTTTTCGAAAAACAATGCCACTGTATACTGCATATTCTCCAAGAGTGATGATTGACGAGTGTGCGATAATTTGACAAAATGAGTGAGTAGGTTATTTTCGATATTGCGAACTGCCAATGAAACAAAACTTGACCGCCATTTTAGTAAAAATTCTAATCCGAAAAATATTTCAAGTAAACATCAAATTAGGTAACACGCGATTCAATGAAATGTATTTGAACGATATTTATTCGGTAGGACATCAGATATGACTAAGTTATGTTGAATTGACGGAGACCTAGAGTATCCGGGTCTTAATAATATTATTATAGTGTTAATTATCTCTCTTAAGGGTAAGTCTTAATAGAGTAGAGTAATTTTTAGAGTGGTATCAATATATGAATGATATACCTATATGAAGCTCAAATAGTTTGACTCGATGATATATTATGTTGAACGGCGATCGAGGTAACACGCATTACTAAAATTATTATTTAATAACTGACACGAAAACAAAACATAAAATGTGTGTCAATCAATCACCGTGATATTTGATCACAAATATATATTATGTTTGTGTTATCTATTGTTGTGTTCTTTTTAACGGGGTGCAAAAACGATTTTATATGACGTTTGAGACTTGCGTTTAGGGGGGTTGAACTATTTGTACCTTGTGTTTTTATAACACGTTTTAATTCGGTTCCATCGAATATTATGTTATTGTTTAAATTCGATTTTGTGTTAACGCTCTGTTTGAAATACAAACAAATATGATTTTGTTATTTATTAATTAAATGGAATTCAGCGTATTATTCAAGTGCTTTTATGAGTTTTTAAGTATTTCACCGAGAACACTAATGTTGAATCAGTTTTGGTCGCCTACCGAAAATGCCATTTCAATTTAAATACTAAATTATTTTCCTCGAATCTTTTTTTTCGAATTGATTTAAATTGAAAACGCTACTCGGTAAAAAAAGCTCGTTAAAAAAAAAAGATTAAAATTTTTTGTTGCTCTGTAGAACCACCAGATTTATTTAAAGTAGTTTAAATAATTTAATAACGTTTGGCATTATAAAATAAGTTAAGAATCAAGCGTACGGTTTTCGTATTGTTTTACATTATTTTATTTATTCTTAACGGCGATTTTAGTCTACTTTTATGCGTTTGGGGTAATTACATATTATTTTATTACCCCATTGCAGTGTTGTATTAATAATTTTATGTTATATGACATTTTTATCAGCTGTTGCTTGGCGATTCACCAATTGAATTCCATAATTTGCAAACGGCGTATCAATGCTTTCAAATAAAACTTTTGGGTTACCAAAAACATTTTTAAAATCTATTTGATTTAATTTAGTTTCGAAGTTTTTAAAATCAAGATTTTGTACTGTTTCGATTGAGATAAATTATAGAGTTGATATGACATCATAAATAGATTTTTAAAAAAAGTAACTTTCGCGTAAGACGATCAAATAGCAAGTGAAGTGTTTTTATATGAATTTAACTTTATTCTAGTTGTGTGTTTTTCGATTAAGGCACCGTCAATTGTTTTTCAGAACGCCCGGGCCGCGGTTGTTAATCATTCGTTTAGTTCACTTAAAACACACGTTACTGGAGTAGTTTACGCTTTCGATTTTACTCTTTCTATCTCTCTCTCTCCACCGCAATGACTCTAATCTGCCAGACCCGCTACTCCCGGGACGTTGTTGGCGTATCTCGTCTCCGAAAAAAGTAGGTAGGTAGTAATTACAAAAGTCCAAAAAAAAAAACGACAAGATAAATAATAACACTAAACCGGTGGCGGGATAGACGCAGAAAAGTCTGTGGAGGTGGTTCGGTGGTCGCGGGTCGAGGGGTGGACTTAAGTTCTTTAGTCAATGAGCGAACCAGATAATCTAGCTGTAGTCATGGAAACACCAATTTGGCTTTAACGTTTTTATTAACAACCGATCACCCCTTTCACGGGTGTGTGTATCGCGTATGGGCG